CTCTTATTTGAAATAAGTAGTCTTACTTACCTCTCTTAAGTACCATTGTAGGACTTATTTTATAGTTCCATTCCAGTTGTAAGACTTTCGATGGCAAGCTAGTCGTAATTCTTTTACATCTGCACGCTACTTTCTTTCCTAAGAAAAGCCCAAAAAATGCTTGTCCTTGGGTGTTCCTCTAGGTTCTAGTATAGAGGGAGGAGGCAAAAGGAATTCACGATGTTCGTGGCTAAAGGGCATAAGGGGAAAAGACTGAGTAGTACAACTCATAGCATGTGGGTGACATTCTCACATATCCTCCTGATTCACCAAACCAAACCTTTCAAAGACCCCCCTCCTTCTTACAGCAGCTCCTTAGTTCTTATTCTATTGCTTTAGAGTAGTTTTAAGACTAAGCAAAGAAGAACTATTAGAGATAGATTCTTCTTTCGATGGCAAGCTAGTCGTAATTCTTTTACATCTGCACGCTACTTTCTTTCCTAAGAAAAGCCCAAAAAATGCTTGTCCTTGGGTGTTCCTCTAGGTTCTAGTATAGAGGGAGGAGGCAAAAAGAATTCACGATGTTCGTGGCTAAAGGGCATAAGGGGAAAAGACTGAGTAGTACAACTCATAGCATGTGGGTGACATTCTCACATATCCTCCTGATTCACCAAACCAAACCTTTCAAAGACCCCCCTCCTTACAGCAGCTCCTTAGTTCTTATTCTATTGCTTTAGAGTAGTTTTAAGACTAAGCAAAGAAGAACTATTAGAGATAGATTCTTGGGTAGTGAGTGCACTCAATAGGCTTGCCTTGACCCTTTACTAGGTTGGAGCGATGAAGCTTATCTTATTTATTATTAAAAAGGAAAAGGACTTTATCTCTATCTTTTGTTTGATGAGGCAGAAGCGCTTGATGCTTTTAAGGATTTCAAACATAATAAGTAGATTCATAGTGAACCTTGATGGGAGTTTCTCTTGAAGCAATAACGCGTTCATCTAGTCATCATTGGAGTCACAAAGAACTATCTAAATTGATTCGTTTCTGCCATCCGTAGGATAATCGATCAAATATCCTACACTATGCAGGTAAAGAAGATTCTCTCGCTTTTGGTAACTGGGTTGCATTAGCTGTTGATGATCACCCAGGGGGATGAGCTATTTGTTCTTGACAGGCACTCTAGAATCCGACAACGCTCGTGAAAACCTGGGTTTGTAGATGTAGGAGCTTGTCTAGAAGATAAGTGTGTGGTTCTTTCTTGTAAACATTCATCATTGTGAATTACTACAGTGACAGAAGAGGACGTAGTATCACATTAAAGATAACCTTTATAAATCTTGTGTGTCTTTTCTTCTTTCTGGCTAATTGATTCCTATCGGTGAAACAGAGTTTCTAATTCTCAGCAGTATGTATACATATTAAAATTTCATTTGTCAACTTTTCTGCTAACAGAAGTGAAAGTTTACTGCTCTTGTTCACAGGTGTGGACTGTTTCATCTGGTTTTTGTTTCGTGACATTCTCTGAGCACACGAATGCAGTCACTGCACTACATTTTATGGCTGGCAATCATTGTCTCTTGAGTGCATCATTGGATGGGACTGTTCGTGCGTGGGATTTGTTTCGCTATCGAAACTTTAGAACATTTGTGACCCCCACACCTAAGCAATTTGTTTCTCTAGCATCAGATCAGAGCGGTGAAGTGATTTGTGCTGGAACGCTGGATTCATTTGAGGTCATTACAGTTGCTATTTATCTCACGTATTTAATATATCATTTTTAATATTTACTGACAAGGTTACTCTATTTATCTCACGTATTTAATATATCATTTTTAATATTTACTGACAAGGTTACTGATTGATTGCTTATTAGATATTTGTCTGGTCAATGAAGACTGGGAGACTGTTAGATGTTCTCAGTGGGCATGAGGGTCCTGTTCATGGATTAATATTTTCTCCCACAAATGTGAGTTGTTGAATGCTCTTCTTTTAAAAGTTTGCTACCCTATCAATACATTAACATCATCATTTGTGATGATCTTTGATCATGCGAATAAAAAATGTCTCTTTGGAGCTTAAAAGATATTGATTATCACATTAATCACTATAAATGCTTTCTGCTTTAAATCTGCAGGCTATTTTAGCTTCCTCTTCTTGGGATAAAACTGTTCGCTTGTGGGACCTTTTTGAAGGAAGAGGTGGTGTTGAAAAATTTGATCACACGCATGATGTCCTTACAGTTGTTTACCGCCCGGATGGTAAACAGCTGGCTTGTAGTACACTTGATGGGCAAATTCATTTTTGGGATCCATTACAGGGCTTGGAGATGTATGCAATTGAAGGCCGTAGAGACATTGCTGGTGGACGTCTCATGACTGATCGCAGATCAGCTGCTAACTCAACTGCCGGCAAGTGCTTCACAACCTTGTGTTATTCTGCTGATGGGAGCTACATATTGGCTGGTGGAAATAGCAAATACATTTGTATGTACGATGTTGCTGATCAGGTTAGTTTTAGTACACTTGTGCACTCTCTACTCTTTCTCGTTGTCGAACTAATCAATTAACTGTATTTTATTATATGTTTTGCAGCTTAAAGGCTATGTGACGAGTATTATTCTGTATATCCAATATAACATGTAACCATTACATTAGCAATAAACAAATTAGAGATGGTAGAAAACATCAGCTGTAATTACCCAAAACATATCTGATCTGGAATAAAAACCTTCTCATTATTAATTTGGCTATCATATCATGACCAATGTTTTCAAAGGAAAGGCACACAGGAGTCACTGCGCTAAAGCACAGGTGTTGATTTTTTTGTATTAAAACTATTTAATTATGAAAATAGGGAAAAATTAAAACACAAACAGAATATGTAACAACATAGATGTGGCATTAATATTAAACAAAAAGCAAATTCTGTAAAACTGAACAATAGTATTTGAATTTCTATTAATTAACCTTCAAAAACTACTATAAAATAGCAGTAGTGCCACATAGCTAATAAATCTAATCCCCAGTTATTTGACACTAGTATATTACTACACGTTTTAGAAAATAAATACAGGATAACATTGCACTATATATAAATAATTGTATATTTATCAAAAATTGTATAGGGAAAATCTCAAGGCATATTGTCACGAGAGAATCTCGAGACATAAATAGCTTAATTTAATTGAATAAAAATGAATTAATCATATTGAAATACCTTGCCCAAGTTTAATCACCTGAAACTCGAAAAACTCTAAAATTGAGCATAGAAACAAGAGAGGGAAAAAAAAAAATGAGAAAGGAAAAACAAAAGGGATAGGCAAGATAGTAAGAGAGAGTGTGCAGGATAGACTGAGGTTTAGGTTCTGTTTGTTTGTCAGTGAGGAGTTGACCCTTCGGCAAAGCATAAAAGAACCATGCCTGACCAGCCTGGGCATGTGCCCTGTGATAACATTGGAATGCCTCACAGGATTTTTGACTATCCAGAATGCTCTGGGACTTTGTAGTTGCACCTTGACCAAGGGCAGGGAGCACACCACATAACTTCACATTTGAAACCTTTAATTGTGACATGAAATGGAACCAACTTAGCTTGGTTTTCTCTCTCTTTATTTATGGAAAGTAAGTTGAGATGGGTTTGTCCGTTGAAACATATTCTCAAATGTCATTTTCAAAACCTGCATAATATATTACTTAAATAGTTAAATGTTGTGTAATTTTCTGGCTGATCTCTCCATCTTGTTCACTGAGCTTTTGCTTAGGAATAACTTCAATCTGATGCTGATCTTGTCGTTACAATTCCCTATATTACTTTGTGAAGTACTTATACTAGTTTACTAATAATTTCAGGTACTGCTGCGGAGATTCCAGATTACCCATAATCTCTCACTAGATGGGGTTCTTGACTTCTTGAACTCAAGGAATATGACAGAAGCAGGTCCATTGGATTTGATTGATGACGATAGAAGTGATGGGGAGGAAGGTGTGGATAAGCAAACACAAAACAAATTGGCATATGATTTGCCAGGATCAAAGCCTAACCATGGAAGGCCAGTTATTCGAACAAAGTGCCTGAGAATCGCACCGACTGGCCGGAGTTGGGCAGCTGCGACCACTGAAGGAGTTTTAGTGTATTCTATGGACGAGTCTTTTATGTTTGATCCCACTGATCTTGATATAGATGTTACACCGGAGGTGAGAATTATATATTCTTTTTCTGGAAAATAAGTTCTATTGAACACAGTTTCAGTTATACATATATTATGTTAAATGAAGTAATAAAAAGGTATATGAATAATTACTCCACTCTAGTGTGTGGTTTAATTAAAAAAAAATAAACTGTAATAAACAAGGGACTTCTGATGTTTCATTTCCATTATGTGCTTTAGCATGTTTGATGTGCATCTAAGAGATGCTTACATTCGTCTGTATCTATATTTTACCATTTTGAGCAGGCAGTTGATGCAGCTCTAAGAGACTATCAACCAAAAAGAGCTTTAATCCTTAGTCTACGCTTGAATGAAGATACTCTAATAAGGAAATGTATTATCACTGTCGCTCCAGCAGATATACCAGCTGTAGCTTCATCAGTCCCTTATAAATATTTGCAGAGATTAATAGAGGCACTTGCAGAACTCATGGAGAATTGTCCACATTTGGAGTTTATTCTACATTGGTGCCAGGTAATATTTCTTCAACTCTTACAACCTATATTTTTATTTGTGTGGATAAAAGTTTAGACTCCTGAATGAAAATTGTCTTGGGTTTTGATTGTTCTATTTTTTGGCAGGAGCTCTGCAAAGCCCATGGCCATTATATTCAGCAGAATTCTAGAAATCTGCTTCCTGCTCTGAAATCATTGCAAAAGGCAGTTACTAGGTTGCATCAAGATTTGGCTGATACCTGTTCGTCAAATGAGTATTCGCTTCGATATCTATGCTCTACAATAAACAAGAAATAGTGACATTATTATATCAGTTGACTCTATGGTAAGATACTGTATGGAAGTATGGCTACATGATCCTGGTGGGAAGTTACTGTACAATCTTTCTTGTTGATCTGCATGTGTAGGGTCTTCATTAGTTATCGTGTGTTTTTCCTGCTGCATATGCTGTCCTTGTACGCAATTTAGTTATATGGAGGCAATTAGACTTTCAAAAATCAGATGAAAGATAAAGTTTTTAAATGCTTCTTGCCTTGTGTTCAAATTTGAATCCCCAAGTTTTATTTAGTTATAGTACAAGGTGATGTAATTTAGTATCCAGTTTTAAACAGATAAATTAACAGGTACGTGCGAAACTGAACCAAATGTGAGGGAGACTAGGCAAAAATTAAGCGAGGGACAGATTTATTTTCCTTTGAAGATATCATTTTTCAATGTTGTCATCAATCATGTTTAGCACTTGTATGACTTACACACATGTTGAATGCCAGTGAGCTGCTTGTCTGGTGAACATTACATTAATTTTTGAGCAAACTACATATACCTCCCCTCAATTATTGTTGGAGAGACTCCCTCCCTTAAATTCTAAGAGTCTTCACTATCTTGTTATATCTATACCTTTCTAGTTCTCTCTCTACTCATTAGTGCCTTTCTAAATTATAATTGCTAATGTATTTCGTTAAGATTTACATAAGTGATTTTTCTGCCTTTCTTTTGCATAGAACTGGTTACCAAATCCTGGAATAAAATTTATTCCTGTATTATTCTTCTAGTCGTTCTGATGTGGTAAACACTTGATGCAGATGCAGAAGTAACAGCCATGTACCTGCTTTGGACAAGGTTGGTGATGCCTACACGAGTTAAAGACATGCATCTGCTGCAAATTGTGTCTTCTCATAATTGTCATTATTCTTGCTTTGATGCCTTTATCAGCTAACGGTGTCAAATTCATAATGCATCTATTACTCAAGTTATAACCCTGTACGCTATGGGAGATGGACAGTTCTAAGCAGGGTTGAAGCGATAAATTTTGTTTGAAGTATGCATTCACCCAGAATTTGGCAATAGGTATATTTGTTGAAACTTTTTAATGCTTATTTACATCATTTGCTAAATTTCTTGTGCCAAGTGAATTGGCATCAATACCTATGGGCCTTGCTTGGAACGGTGTCTAAAGTTTAACTAGCTACACTGTAAAACAGTAGAATAGATTCACCCCCTTTTCACCTTTGTTTCTCAGTAACCTTTGGATTGGGTAAATTATAAAAGTTTGAAATTTTCAGTGGTTTCTTTCACCAAATCTGCAATTCTGTCGAGGCAAATAGATGAGTTCTTGGTTAGGCTCTTGATATTTATCGAATTTTTTTTGTTTTCCAACTGCCGGTTTCAGAGCCAACACCACAAGACATATTCAGCTTAGACATTATATATGTTACATTCATAGTTAATATTCTTGTCTATCGCGTAATCAGTAATGGATGTCAGTTGGCCTTGGTGGTGGTTCTAGCATTGGCTTCCGTCGTATGTTAAAGTAACAAATTAAATTTTTTAAACTTATATTTCTGCTAAAAGAGGGGACCATTCTTCTGCAAATGAATTTGATCAATAAATTTGACAAATAATCATAATAGTCCTGAAATCAAAGCTAATATAAAGGTCTAGATTATTAAACTTCATGTGTTTTGATGTATGGAGTTTTTAAAAAGTTTTAATTAGTGTAAAGATGGTTATATTAGCTTGAATTTATCGTTAGGTCTTCCCTTTAAAATAAAATAATTTCTGTTCTACTATGACGTCAAACTTCTATTTTTCAAGTGCTATGGGTGGGTGCAAGACGGACGGTTTTAAAGCAGACTATCCATTCATTAGATGGAGGATTACCAAGATTTTGTGATTCGTTGTTGAATTTATTTCAATTCCAAGAGCAGGTTTAATAAATGATCAAGTCAGGTTTAATAATTATGTAAGAAAGTGAGACATACAAAATATGATTAATTTTATTTAAAACTATGGGTGGGTATCGAGTGGTTAGGTTTGGATTTTTCAAGAACTGAAATCATCCATTAAACTTTAGTATTTTGTAAATGGAATAATTCAGTTTAATGTAATTAATGGAATTGAATTGGAATTGGAACCATTTGATTTTGATTTGAATTTGAATTTGCAATAGCAATTCTTTTATAACAAATTTATAAATGCGTCAATATTGACCAACTTGATTTTCTTTGAATATCTAAAAATGCATAGAAAATTATAAGGGATGCATTTGAATTAAGAAAGCCAACAAAATGGACATGGAATATTGTGATGTGGAAGGGTTGGGAAGTATTACAATGTATATAGACAAGCCAACCTAAAAATTTATAGAGAAATGCTGATTGTCACAGGGCCTGTACAGGTCAAATACGGGGATGATTTTTTTATTTTTTATTTTTATTTTTTTAAAATAATCATTCACTCGCCCACCTCGACATTAATGCTGGCATGTACAAGCATTGTGAAGTACAACCAGCATTAACGAAAAATTTAATGACTCAGATTGAAAGGAGCCATTAAAAAGAAAAATAGGGGGAATATAAAATTGGTGAATAGTTTCCAATTCAAGTATTCGGTTCTGGTTCCAAAAACTAAGACCATGTCCAAAATTGTTCGATTCTCGATTTTTTGAAAATCAGAACAATAATTTTATTTTATCTTATTTTTTATGTAACGTTGATTTTCGAAATCACGTATTCGGTTTTGGTTCCAAAAACTAAGAACATGTCAAAAATTGATCCGTTCTCGATTTTTCAAAATCAGAACAACAATTATTTTGTGTAACATTCCGGAATCGATGTTTCCAATTCGATTTAGGAGTTTGATTCCAGTTACAATGTTCACCCTATTTAAAACACGCCCTTCAAGGATGTCAAAAATTTTGATCGACGTGAACCCTGAGGGACTCGAGATAGGACATAAATTCCTTGCATTGTTCAAGTTAAGGGTCCAGGTCGGGCCGGGCAGGTATGGGTAGTGGGTGACATCCCACCTCACCTGCCTCCCCGTTTGGTATTATTTAAAAGAGAAATTTAAACTTCATAGTAAATATCTTATTTAAAACAAAAAATATTAAACAGGGCACCATGGGTGCCTTGCCCCATTTGTCATAAGCGGGGCATGGGACAAAAATCCTTGACATAACAATGTACGTCATTGTCATTCCTAATGTTGTAATATGTGGCTCATATAGAATGGTGTGAAGTTGTGTTTCTCAAACCACACTTTCATAAATGAAAATGCGATTTGTCCCTCTTGTACTCCTATGTATAGTTGGCAATTGGGCATTGGCTAATAGATGGTCACTTGAGTTGTGCTTTTTCTTGGCTATTGTGGACCGTTGATCTAATTCTAAGGTTGAGATTTAGGTTCCCATTATTAATGCCTTTGCAAACTTTTGAGGCATGGGGCTTCAATCAATCGGTCATTTTTGAAGAATAGACTCGTGGGTTTTCTCTCTCTCATTCTATCGCCTTTGTTCTTCTCTTCTTCTTAGATCTGGAAATCTTCGGTGGTTTTTGTAATAATCTTTGTTGTTATCTGATGATGGTAGAACGTATGTACATTATTTTAGGCCTTGATTGTGGCTAGTAAACCTATATCGTGTTCTTGGCAAGGTTTTGTCTATTCTTGTGGGCTAGGGTTCGAGTTATTGAGAGATCCTTGTGGATCGATGACCATATAGTGGATTTGATTTGGTTTTCTCAAATGTTTGTACACTCTCTTGAAGGTTTCTTGCTAGTAACGGGCTTACCTCTGAGTCCCCCAGATTAGGTCGTGTTTAGCTGAATTGGGTGAAAATTTTGAGCGTTCTATTTTCTGTTCTTGCTTTGTTTTACTATTTTACGATAATTTGTGGGTTGATAATCCTTTCAAATCTGGTATCAGAGCTCGACTTTCGAGGCATCTGCGTGATATACCTTGCCTTGAGGATACTTGATGGGTTGAGGATAGGAAACCATCGTGAACATTCTGGTTTTTTCTGATTTCAGTATTCGGTTTTCCTTTTCTTGAAATTTTATTATTCTGTCCAGATCTTAAAGATCTACACAGACATTTAAGGAGACTAATTTTTTCTGTTAAGTGCGTAGGTCAAGAACTAAAGATTGGTCAGCCCCTGATCGGTTCCACTTTTGGCAAGTGATAGGGTGATTCTTGAAATTCTTTTGATTGCACTGTTGTTTTCAATGGTGCTGTGGGTGAGATCTTACCTTAAAAAGAATCAGGATAATTTGGTGCACAAAATTGCATGTCTATTTTACTGTGGATTAATTACTGACATTGTGCATTCTATATTGATAATTAACCTGACAATTTTTTTAGGTATTATACAAAGTTCTTTATATCTGTTATGTAATTCTTTGAATTCCCAACATGTTGGCTGCTTGTGTATACTGTTTTAGCTGTGCAAGATAGGATAGTTGTTTTTCATTTAGTGATATGCATTCCTTTGAATCTGTTAGGAAGTTTCTTGGTTTTTTGGTGATCATAAATTGTGGTATTTGTCATGGATTCCAGTAGTAACCACTCTTTCATAGAACCTATGATAAATTCGAAGGTCGAATTATCACAATTTGATGGAAAGGAGGATTACTCAATTTGGAAGTAGAAAATGAGGGCTATATTGGTCCAACAAAGGGTTGTTAAAGCCCTGGATGACCCTTATAAATATTCTGACGAACTTAAAGCCAAACCTGATGAGATTCTTGAAATGAATGAAATAGCTTATAGCTCGATTATCCTTCACTTATCTGATAATATAGTAAGGAAAGTAGAGAAATCCAAAACTGCTAGGGTTCTATGGACAGCCTTAGATAATTTGTTCTTGACTAAGACTTTACCAAATAAAATTTATCTCCTGGAAAAATTGTTCAGTTTTAAAATGGATGATCGGTAAGACCTTGAAACCAATTTGAATGATTTTAGCAGAGTGGTGAAGAGTCTTGCTCATAATGATAAAAAATTTGAAGATGAGAATCTTGCAGTGATCCTTCTAAACTCCTTACTTGATTCTTATAAGGATATCAGAAATGCTATAAAATACTCAAGAGATGCGTTAACACAATCAATCGTAAAAAATACCCTAAGATCTAGGGAATTGGAAGTCAAGAAAGAATCTAAACTAAATTCAAGAGGGGAGAGCTTATTTGTGAGAGAGAACAGAAAAGAGGGATAATAATTCACAGAATAAAAGATTCAAGTCCAAATCCAAAATCAAGAGACAAAAGCAATAAAAAAATGCTATCACTATGGAAAACTTGGACATTTCAAGAGAGATTGCTTTGAGTTAAAGAAGAAACTGAAAGAATCCAGCAGCATTGAGTTAAATAATGATGTTGTGAGTTCTCAACTTGACAGCCTTCTTGTAATGACTGTGACAAATGAAGAAACAGACACTGACTGATTTTAGATTCTGGATACACATTTCATGTGAGTCCAAATAAATATTGGTTTTATAACCTCAAGAAGATAGAACCCAAGAAAGTATATATGGGTGATAACAATTCACAAAATGTTCTTGGAATTGGTGACATTTCAATCAAAATGTATGATGGAATTATCAGGTAGATTAAAAGTGTGATATATGTCCTAAATCTAAAAAGAAACCTAATCTCATTAGGAATTCTTGAAGATGAGGGACATACATTTAAATCTGAAAATAACAGTTTGAAAATCTTGAAAAGATCTCTTGGAGTCATGAAGGGGCCCAAAAGGAATGGGCTATACTACTTAATGGGAAAAACTGTTAATTCTCAAGACCCAAATTCTTTAACTATAACTGAGAACAAATCTGAATTGTGGCATTGTAGAATGTGTCATATTGTAAGGGCTTAAAGTACCTTAATGAACAGAAATTGTTTGGAAAAGATAAAGTTGAACCCCTTAATTTTTGTAAATCATGTTTGCTAGGGAAGTCTCATAGAGTGAGTTTTGAGACCGGGTCACACACAACGAATAGACCATTAGACTATGTCCATGTAGATTTATGGGAGCAAAAAAACTACCCAACCTTTGGTGGAAATAAATATTTTCTTTCTATAATTGATGATTATTCTAAAAAAGTTTGGACCTACCCTTTGAAATCCAAACTGAAACTTTTCAAAAATTCAGATTGTGGTTAAAGATGGTTGAGAATCAATTAGACAAGAAATCGAAAACCCTAAGGACAAATAATGGGTTGGAATTTTACAG